AAATTGGTTGTGACACCTCCTTTAGAGGTAGAACTCGGCACAGCTTTGATTTACCGTTTAAGGTACACAATGAACTAAATATTGTCGCTGATTAATATTAATATTGTTGACCTAAATGTGGCGGCAATGAATGGTAAGGCCTCATTCCTTAACTCGGAACCCCTTTACTCGGATGGGCATGGCGAGATGTATCCGATGCCGATAAGTAGATTTGATTTACAGCTGCGCGAGATCGGCTGTATATGTCTGAATTTTAAAATATCGTGAAAGACATGACATCGGGCGCTAAAAAGCCATGCTGATGTAGCGGTCGTAGTATCTATCTGTAAATATGGTAATCTTTCGCTCACGAATTGCTTAGTTTGCTTCACTTAAATACAAATGAACATGGCATTCTTATTATCACTACAACCCTCCTTTCTTTAGATTCTATCGGACATATACATCTGGTGTTATGTAAAAATCAGAAAACGGCAGGTTCTTTGCGCAAATCGAAATGGCATTGCAGCACAAATGCATTATTTCAGCTAAGAAAAATTGACTCTGATGGGTATATAATTGAAAAAATCGATAGTGTATTAACGGTGACTTGCTAGATTAAACAGGATGAAGAATTGTCTACAAAGTACCTTTCAGTTGATCTCGCGGTATTTTAATTATTCATATAAAGACTAATGCAACAAATATGGATTGAAAAAGCGAAAAGAGTCGATCATCAACCTTCGAAAATTCGAAATATATCATTTGAATACGGCATATGCCCCTACAATCATCAAGTGAATCTTATTGGTCCCCTTTTTAGTTTTTTAGCTCGTCCAATACTAATTTATTGATCCTTAACCAAAATTACCGGCCCGTTTGTGCACAGTTTATAACGTTTATTCCCAATCGTGTCACTATTAATTAGTCGTTACTTTAACGTCCCATAATGAATTTGTAGCAACGCCAATCTGTTTAAGGTCGCTGTTTGGCTGCAAATAGAAGCGGGTGGAAAACATCAATTGTATTTAATAATAAGTATTGCGCGTGCACTCTTTTAAATCTTTATATTTATTAGACAAGCGTTCAAACTTTTGTAAACCGAGAATCACACATTTTTCGCTTACAAGGACAAGTGAGTAAGCGAGGAGTCGAAGGCGCGAAGGCCTTTCGTGATCGCTCTTCAAGCATATCAGAATATTTATCAATCTTTGTATAAGGTTTCTCTTTGTGGTGTCATAACATCTAGTCACACGGATGGTGCCATTTAATTACCGCGAAGGGATGAAAAACAAATGTGTCGAACTCTCTTTGCTGTAAATAGGTGCGACATGATCTGAAGCATACTCTCAACTCTCTTTTTACATGTGACCACCCCTTAATTGGATACGATGAATACCACTTCATATCCATCGATGCTTAATCATCGGCTTAAATAATTTGTCACAAATTCGATTGCTGTGCCCTTATATGTCTTCTTACACTATCGCAATAATTTGTCTCAAGTAATGTTCTTCTGGCATCAACATGGATTTTTCAATGATTGCAAACTCTTTGTGTCATATCTCCATCTGCTCTTACCCACATGTCTTCAAAGCACTACTCAATCTCCCCCATATGACCAACCTCTAATTCACGAATTGTGTAGATATCGTATAATCGATATAGCTGGATGTCAACACGTCCATTGATTGGTGGAAACCAGGGGCACGGTGCTTTAGGCAACAAAGATTTAGTGAAATTACATAGAGATGAGCACGTTTCAACGATTTTGAATACAATGAACAATATGGATGCGACGCAGCAAGCTTCGATTTACTATTCAGAGACCCATTTCAAGCTCACGCATTCGATATAAAGATATATTAAGTCCAGCCGATTAGACAATTTGCAGGATTGATTGAAGAGAAGCATTCACATTTAAACAGCGATAAAGCCGTAGTCAGGAGATATATTCCTATTTAAAGAAAAATACGCCCTATTTAGCCTGTAAGTAGACACATTCAATGAATGGTCAATGTGCTGCGCTTGCCACGACTACTCGGTCCTCAATCACTGTATATTCGTCTACGAAAAAAATAGGGGTAACTTGCACCAAGCGATACAATAGTGCAGGATCAGTTCATATGACCTTTATTAATGTACTATTCTCGCATGCTCTTGATTATTCAGCAGTTCACAATACAATTTTTTCCAGCTTATCTATGTGTGGCTAAGTTCAAGTAGCCTTTCTTCCGTGTGTAGTTTTTATCACTCGTCCAAAATAAATGCTAGAATATGGGCGCAGATTGACGACGACGACGCAAGACCTGATACTTTCTGGTCCACTAATCAAAATTTGAGAAGATTAAATCGAATAAGTTATAGGATGTATCGTGGGATTAGTAAGTGACAATGGCGTATCGCGACCGAGTAAAAGTCGTAGAAGCTATAGCTTTGCCGATCCGGAATATAAATAACCTGTTAGTGGAACTATTTGACGTTTTTAAATATCAGCAAATTTGTTTACGTTCTGAACCGGTATATAATGACCTCATCGTCGTTCGCATGTTCAACAACTAGCATTTTACTCGAACGACCACGATCTGTAAACAAGTGACGTACACGCATTAAGTATAGGCCGGTACATTGCCGCTCTCACTACCGCTGATAGTTATGCACAACTCCTCCAACGCCATGGCTTCAGCACTATTGATCAATAGTCCGGATTGCAAGTAGTAGTAGTAGTAGTAGTTGTTGTTGTTGTTGTTGTTGTGCTTTTCGCAGTGTTTATTAAATTTCGCATGTCGTTAGGTTAAATTGTTGGTTTATTGATTTAGTCACGGATTATTTGATTGGTAGATACAATGCTTTATCCTTAATGATCCTGAATTATACAGTCGTATCGTTTAATATGTGCTCACAATAACATTTAGAAATTTTGTTCAAGCGTGGCGGATCTAATCGAGTGAACGTCGACCCTATGCCTCATCATGTGCATCATGTGTCAGGTTCCGCAGGTCGTGTTCTGAACGTACTCGATGGGTGTGCACCTGCAGACAAGATTGAGATTCATTGCCAATCTGGACGACGATCGTACATCAAAATTGAAATGCTCGACATGCCCGACGCAATGGACTACTCCCGGGCCAAGAGCTATCGCTTTGGTGGCCACGTGATGCAGCAACAGATCAAAATTTGATGGACAAGTGTGAGGCCTATCTTCTCCTGCTTAACATGCGACAATTAATTATTTGCTTCGGCACCTTGGATCTATACCGATTCTTCAGCCTCAACGACTACGCAGTCGAGGATTTGGATATAGCGTTTATTGCTTTGTACGATATCAGCAACGATATGATGCAGTAAACCCGATGTCCGAGGGAACGCGAGAGCTTGCATTCAATCGAAAATCGTCTGCAACCATTCATAGATCACTGATTAGTCTATGTTTTTTCAGTGTATCGTCAACTGCCGTCCATGCTTGACATTTGTAAACGTAAGAGAACAAAACACTGTCAAAATCAATGCAAATGCATTTGGCAACCGGTGTATCCGGAATCCGTTATGCTTCACATCCGCACACGCCAGCAAGCGTATGAGCTGCTTACACAGATGTCTAGTTGTCGTATCGTTGCACCTCTTTGCGCAAAAGGAAGCAGCATGCAGCTTTGGCCAGTGTTTGGCAAGGTAGCCGCATACCGTAAAAGCCACATGACATCACACGACACGCTGTGTTTAACGTACGTATCAACAACGCTTCCATACCTGCAGAAATGACATGGTCTAGCTAGACATGAAGCCCGCCCAATGTATGTCGACGTACAGGGCATCTTTTACGAAATATACCAGCTAACAATATGCATAGATGCTGGTGGTTCGTATATAATATTATGTCGATATTGTCAGTCATTAGTAGCACTCGATAGGCGCAGCAGCTAACGTCCCGGTCAGCACGCGTTGAATAGAGTGTCATCTTCGTACCTCGCATTTCCCGTCGCATTCGTTTACTGAGCTTGTAAGCAAGTGCGTCTGACCGATGACGCAAGCCAACGCTGCTATGTAAATCAGATGACTCTTTCTTATAGGCAGCACTTCCAGCATTTGGACAACCTCTACGACACATTCGCTTCTTCTGGCCCATAGCAGCAGCAAAGATCAGGTTCACGCGCGCCCGATTCATAGGAATCGATGCGTAAGGCGCCTGGCCGCAGTAGCTGCCATTGTCCATACGAAGAGGGTTGTTACGCCGACGACCGCATCGAAAACGTCACGAAGCACCTAATCATCGTCAAGGTCGCGTCAGTATGCTACTTTTGTCGATGTCGTTTGCGCAATTACATTTATCGTAAGATACTTTTCTAAAGAGAAAAGAAACAATAGTGTCGGGGGAATATATATTATAGCAACACGAAAGAAATGCTAGCGGCATTTCATCGCGTCACAAGTGGTACGTGCAATAGATATTCAGGCGCTGTGAACAGAGAGATATGCGACAGCTTGCAAAGAAGGCTTGTGTCTTGTGTGTACCAAACGCCGTCATGCAGCCTCATGTTTGACTGCAGCCCACTGTAATAGAGAAAGCAGCCAAGTCAAAAAATGGACGCAGCGAACAATTGAAGTTACTATTTGCAGTGAAAGCATACATGCATGGTGTGCAGTGCACCTAGTCATCGACTGACATTCTACAGATAGATTGCAATTACTCGACGCCACCTGGGTCTTCACCATGTATCACGAGCGCTATAACGATTGAATGAAGAGCGCAAAGCGGTGTGACTAAAAAATGCTTATTCGATAACGCGAAGGAGACATTCCGGTCCATGGCGCATATACGTTGCACGGTTTGGCTGGATATGCATCGACTAATCAACTGTGGTCAGGTTACAAGTCCGTGGCAACATGCGCGTCATCGTACGGTGTTTACGCGAGTGCACCATTTGCTGAAGTCAGGTGGAGCTTCTGTCAAAACGCTTGTAGAAGACGCCGATGTCACACGTAGATCGGCCAGCCACGCGCGTATTACGAGACACGAAGCATAACTAAGCATTTGACAGTGCTTGCAAACGATCGACCGTGGCCGTCGACCAGGGTGGGTGTTGCATACGAAGCTTAGCCAGGATCTCATCCGTAACGGCCGAGTCTTCTTCAGTAGGCTCATGCAAAGCTAGCAAACCTTTTGCAAGTTCTCCAGATCCTCCAACCTCGTCCCGATGGTCTTGTAGTATCATGAGATACGCCCGCGCGTTCGTTCTCGGAACCTTTCGAAGCCACGGATCAACTTTCTCGTCCGCAAAAGTATGACCACGTCGGTACAGAGTCACATACCTTAGGAAGTGTCCGAGCCAATTGCATAAGGCGATATCTGGTATTTTTAACGTCCCCTCGCGGTAGCGATGTGGATTGAACATTCCCCAAGGCAACCTGCTAAGCGCTTCCAAAGGATCCAACTCAGCCTTTGCCCACGACTGCAACATCTTCTCAGTCACGTCTGGGTGGTTCGTCAGCAATAGTAGAGTTGCGTCTTCTGCGAAGACTTCCATCTCCTTTATCCCGCGGAGATATTCCAAAAACGCCTCCACGTTTCTTGGTTTGCCGTCTTTCATCAGATTGTCGACAAAAATTGATGCAGAATTGAAGGGTCCATGAACGGGCAAAAGTACTTTAGTAGCCTCTGTCAAGTCCCTCCTTCGTTGTCGGTCGTTGGCGATTCTCACATAAGCGCGCCACTGCTCGAGGTTATGACAGATCTCAGAATACCTCGCCGGCTTTTCAAAGCCGCGCCATTGGAGATCCGCAGAGATGGGCAGCATATGGAAGAATTCCTCAGGGCTTACGCGAGCATCCAGACACGTATCACGCATCAATTCTCCGAGGTCGTCGTTTCTCACGGCTAGCGCTCTCAACAAGCCAAGATTCTTGACACCATAGACGTCACGAGCTAGAACCAAGGTCGCAACGGAATCTCTTGCTTCCTTGGGAATTAATTCTGATTGCCAAATGTGAGCACCGGGTTTATGGGTAGGATGGCGCTTCACAAGCCGTTTAAGGTATACGATTGAATCAAATAGCGCCCCGGAGTCCATATGAGCGCCTGCCGGATGGATGCCGCGTCCGGAGGTGAAGATCTTTCGCACCCTGCTCAGGATTGACTTGATATCGGCTAATTCCAACAGCGTCGACAAGCTAATTTTCTCCTCGCTGTTCAGGTGGACGTGGTCGTCCTCCGATCCCGCCGAGTTGCGTGGTCCCAAGATTCTTGGCGTGTCAGACTCGTCGATCTTTGGATGCGGGGCATAAGCGGACTTGTAGAGAGCGTCATCTTGGGTGTGATTACCGGTCGGTACTAGCGTTGGTTCTGCAGCGGTCCATTGCAAGGCGCGAGGGACATGAATAGTGGGAAAAGCTTGCACATCGTGTCGATGGAGCACTTTGGGGAATGAAAAACCGCATCGCAAACATCGTGGCCGCACGCATAGGACCACCCAATTCTTGCCCGGCGTTTGACCAATGCAGCTGGCTTCTAGATCTGGTCGCAGTGTAAGGCCACACCGGATACGGGGTTGAATTTCGTCTAATGAGCGGTTAGTTTGTGTGGGGCACACCACAGCGAATGTCCTCTCGATATTAATATCGGTTGTTCTTATTTGTTTATGGGAGCTGATTTGTGTCAGTCACCGGACGTGATATTCGGGACGGGCAAAACATCCCCAACTGAAAGACCACCTGTCCCAAGTCTATCCCCAACTACACAAAGACATATAATCAGTTATTTTTGGCTCGTACTTTGTGTTCGTCTTGACAGATGGCAAAACGACAGCGGTACATAACACCGAGCTCTACGCTAAGAGAATCTCAAAGAACACAATCAAGCTTATAGGAAACCACGACCCTGCCCGGATCCCCGCCGTTTCAAGAGAAGGCGAACGAGCTCATAAAGCAGAGCCTTACATGCAATGTGTCACCTCTAGCCGCAACTGGATTCCTATGAATGTACGCGAACCTACGTAAACGAAACCATCGGAATAAGGTAGGACCGTGATCCGCCTACGGCATACAAATTGAGGCTCTGAAAAGTAGCTAATTATTTCTTCTGCAACTTCAGGGCGATATGTAAAAGTTGACGAGCTGTCCTGTGACTAAGCACACTTTCTGGCAGAACAAGATGTGTGGTAGAGTGGTGATCACAATTTTCTTGTGATCCCGACTCTCCACTGGCGCCCGGACGACCGACTAACGGAAGGGGTACCCCGATTCCGTGTTCTGTATGTTCTTGCTCACCTTGTGTACCCGTCGGTGGGGCGGGTTGCGTTCTTCTTGGTGGACTTGAGCTGATGCTGAACTTGACCGTCTTAGGGATAGGTGTTGATCGGGTGAAAATGCTTCACCCGGTCAAACGTAGGTGCGGATCGCGTGGAAATTCTTCACTCGATCGCTTGTAACTTGGTCTCTTTCCTAGAGTCGTCTTTGTCAGGGGTGATGCTTGATACGCGAGCCTTCTGACCAGTTGAGCCGTCTCGCGATCTTGAATCTGAACCGTAAGGTTCATTGCGTCCTACCGCAGTTGATAGGGGTGTGAGAATTGACTTTCCGCCTGGCCAAACAATCCAAGGGCGAAGTTCGCTGAGACGTGGGTATCTCTCTTTTTAACGGGAGGCCAAAGATCCTGCCCGGGAGAAGTCGACGCGTGTCTTTCGTTGCAAATTCAATTCTGCTTAATGTCAACCAACCAAATACAAAACCTATGACTATGCCTATCTGTTCGCTAGATCACTGTTGCGTATCGCCTGTCTATGTCATTCATCTCTTACCTCATGCGGTCCACAGCATACATTCCGTAGTGGATCGCGGGCAGCGGATCGCTAGGTAGTGGTTCGCTAGGTAGTGGATCGCGGTATGTGATCCACACCAATTATGTGATCCACCTCGAACCGCTCCCTAGTGGATCGCTCCATAGTGGGATCGCGGTGCAGTGGATCGCGGTGCAGTGGATCGCGGTGCAGTGGATCGCGGGGTAGTGGATCGCGGTATGTGATCCACACCAATTATGTGTCCACACAATTAAGCATTACACACCCAGTGTGGGTCGTGATCAATCTTTCGAGTCTCTGATCGAGCATCTACCGTCGGGTCGCAGTCATTTCTGAGACCTCGCATGTTTGATGATTTTGGCGATACACTCCTCCAGCTTGATTCCATATTCACCTATCTTCCATTGCCGTTAGCGATCCAGTACTCCGGTTGATGCTCACCCGTTGAGCGATCCGGTCCTTGTAATTTGGCGATCCAAGCCCTTGTAATTTGGTGATCCAAGCCCTTGATCGCGGGTCGCGAACGGTCAATTATCGATCCTCGACGATACTCATTCTCGACCGTTAGGTAGATCCATCCGAATAACTTAACAGTCATTTCTGTCACGCATTCGTATATTTACATCCTGCGTCACAACACCACGGTTAAATGTCGTGATCACTTTACCACAGTCGCCCCCTGCACCGTTAGTCGACAAACGGTATCGACCTAGCTGTGCGTCCTCTTAAATCTTGACCTCTATTGACTTTCAGACCTCTTCGGTAGTGCAATCTCACTGGTAATGCCTCATCTTATCGATACCCACGATCTTTATTTTCGTGTAGACGCCATAGGCGTTCTTGTTGATCGTCGATCGTCCTTGTTGAGCGGGTTTTGCAACCTCATATCTTCGGTTGGGCTTTCGTCTTGCTGATTGCTGGACCGGTCTTGTGCCCCACAATTTTAAACCATGATCCCATCTGGATGATTGGTGGACTGTCTATGAACCCGACCAGACTCATCAGAAATGCTGTCACTGATGACATTCGACTCGCAAACTAGTTGCTTGGAACGGTGTTGCGCTTGATCGCTTCCCTCATAGGTTCGGACCAATTAGATCACCGCCAGTGACTTTACCGTCTCCTTCCTTCCAAAACGTCGTCGGTTAATATCGCCACAAATCTTTTAACCTGTCTGCTTCACCATCCTTGACCCCACAATCCTCAACCATGATCACGTCGTGGTGATGGGTGAACTGTCTATGAACCTGACTAGCCTCATCAGAAATGCTGTCATTGATGACATTCGACTTGCAAACTGGTTGCTTGGATCGGTGTTGCGCTTGACCGCTTCCCTCATAGGTCCGATCAAATACATATCCGCCAGTGACTTACCTTCTTCTTCGTTTCGAAATGTCTTCGGTAGTCATCGCCGCAAATCTTTTGGCCTTATTTTCTGGATCATATTTGTTTCTTACAACCCTCGACCGTGATCGCGTCTAACTGATGGGTGGACCTTATATGAACTAGATCAGCTATCTCGTGATAGGCATCCTCATGCAACGGTCTCTACAACACCGACCACTTCACTTGATCTATCACGCGCTCAAAAGCCTTTAATTATCTCTTTTTCAGTATCGATCGGCAAAGCTACCTCCATTTATCAAAGAGCTTACATCAATTCTTCTTCGTCGATCGTCACATAAATTCATCTCATTTTCCTTTTCATATATATATATCCACTGCGATCCGTTTGGATACCCTGGATAGCCACACAAAACCCTTCCCTTTATTCACATCTGCAACCTACTTGCAGGCAACTTCCGATTAGACACATCGGTTATTCATCCACCGCTGCTTCGCGTGATTGCATCAACTCGATGCGATTATTGCTGACTCGATCGCGATCGAACTCTTGCAGCAAGGCCCCACATTTCACGTCGGCCTCATCTATCCAAGTCGGATCGACCGATCCCTTCCGTCTCACCAAATACTGGCGCTGCACTCTGCCAAAACCGGTCCGTCAGCCGGATTGCACATCCAATATCGTCTCGACTTCAAATTCATCTTCATCCAATGTGCGTTCCCAGCGATCTTCCGGCAGCTAGGATTCGTCAAAATCGAAGTGCTCCGCCTCCTCAACGTTTAACAGGTTTTTTGGCCGATCCGGGAAGTTTTTCACCCGCTTAATCTTGGATATAGGTACCAATGGGAATAATCGATATGGAGTATTTGAGAGCTCCAACCATACTGCGTGTCTCCTGCAAAGTTTCCTTACCCAGAATGGCCCATGCCACATATGTGCCAGCTTTCGGGCGTATCCGTCTTTCACTCGATCCAAATAGAGCCACACTTGCGATCCAACTTCGATATCATGCGATCCGTCTTCAGTATTGTGTCGATCGGCCCGATCTTGGATTGCGATCCGTATACGATCGTTAACGGCTTCTCTCGCTCTCTGGTAATGACGTTGCATATGATAACGCCATCTTCTTGGATCTTGGTCCCGTCGTTTGGTGCTTCCCAAAGGCAAATTTGCTTCCAGCGTCGATCGTGAGTCCCAACCGTGGATCAGGTAGAATGGCGTATCTCCTCGTACGCGATCCTGTGCCATATTGATGGCGAACGTCAACCTTCTTGCGTACTCGTCCCAAACCTTCTGATCCGTATATGTAATGTATATCTTCAACGCCTTCGTCAGGGTCTGCACCATAATGTGTGATGTTCAATTCGATTAGGGTCGATATGCCATATTAGCACGCTGTTTCTGCCCCGCGATCCGGTTGAAAGCTCGTAAGAAATCGGACATGAATCCT